TCTGCTAAATGGTGGTTTTGCATGGAGCTTGTGGAATACATTATTCAAGTTGATTGTTGAGGCTTTGATTTGAAGCCCTGCAACAAATCATTAGTGTTCCCTCGATTAAGTACAATAGTCCAAACAATAGCCTTAATTTTTTAGGAAACTTTGACTTTCCAAATAAATTTAGGTAAAGAGAAAAAGTCATTGTTCCGGGAGCTAATAAGATGTGAATAGAAGTATTTGCATGAGAAAATCTTAGATTTATATGCGGTCCAAATGCTACTATCATGTGAAGAACAAGGTTGGAAGTCATTCAGAATGTGAAGCACATAAGTCAAATAAATTGCTTCCTTATCATTAAGATGCCTAAAGAAATGAAAATCCCAAGAATAAAGTCCGTTCCCACGACACGAAAAGAAGAAATATAAGCCTCACTGTATGAGGATAAACGATAAAGACGGGGAAAAAATACTATGAAAAAATGAGTCCCCAATCCATGTATCCTCCCAAATTAAAACTTTAGGTCCATCTCCAATTTTATATGGACTGAAAGAAAGAAAAGAAGGGTGAATCTATGAAATGAACTTCCAAGGATTGGAATCATATGGGTTACATTATGCCCTGACCTAGTATTCTTCCTTTGAAGGCCATACTTACTCCTAATTACCTTATGGCAAAGGGAGTCAATTTCTAACGGGAACCTCCATAAACATTTACCTACAAGGGAAATGTTTCAAAACACCAAATTACCAAGTCCCAATCCCCCATCATCTATAGGCTTACAAACTGTCACCCAACTTATTAAATTATCCCTCTTATCATCTCTCAGCAAATCCCTCATCATCTTCTCTAAACTCCTAGCTACTGTAGTAGGGATTTTAAAGAGTGACAAATAGTATAAATGGATCCTAGACAAACATGCTTTTATCAAAGTGATCCTCCCTCCAAGAGAAAAATATGTCATTTTCTAGTCATCCAATCTTTTGCACATCCTTTCAACAACTAGATTCCAAAAGGACATGATCTCTGATTTCCCCCCAATGATAACCATTAGTAAACAATAGGCCACTCATGTAATAAACAATCGTCTGTAATACCAAATCTCAAACAAGATGCCTATAACGCCAATTTTGGACATTACTTTCAAACAAAAGACTTGTCATTGAAATACTTAAAATTTGCAAATTCTATAGAAAACCAATTTTTAAGCTTACCACTCATATAATTTAATACCCGTAAGACAAAACTTACTTAAAATTCTAAAATCAGAAGGAGAATAAGAAAGTTGTAATACGTGTCTGTTATTTTCAATATTTGCATATTAACAACCAAGGAGTCTATTTTTCTATATTTGCTCAATAAAATCAGTGGGGGTCATAAGAGTGATCCAGCCAAGACTTTCTAAAATATGATATTTGATTTATTTTCTTTTCTAATTTAGTCGGATTAAGTAACATCACTCCCATTTGTACATAGCCCCTAAGCCACATGAATATTAAAAAATTGAGACTCATTTTAATAAGGCAATGCCATGCAAAGCTCATTCTACCTGCCAACCTACTCGTGCTTGCAGCTCCACCAGTGATAAATGAATTGCTTACGAGAGCTTCACAACCACTGTAGCTAGCAGAAATAACTTAATGGTAGTGCATAGCTTGACATTTCGGCTCCCAGCTTTGTCATTTAGTAGTTACAAGAGGAGTGCGTAATAGACTCCAGACTCCATGTGTTTTTCTTATGCTCTCTTGAGTTTGCAAACCTTATTAAGAAGACCCTATCACGAATTTCATGACCTTCCTAAATCCAAGAGCTATGTATGAGATAATACTGTAAGTTCCATTAAGACACAAAGAATCCACCAAAAGCCCAAGTACCAAAAAAACCCATGATGCATCCATTCCGAGTCCTACGGTCTTCTCTACATAGACAATGAAAGGTTTTATATAAGTGCAAAGAAGAATCACCTTCCAAGTCCTACGGATATAAGATCATACTTGAAAGCGAGAGATTAAAGTTTTAAGTGAAATTTATAGAATATCCAACCCAAAACCAATCGGTAATGCGTGTAATGACCTCCTAAGCATATAAACCATACTTGGGTCTACTTAATTTTTGGATGCAGGATAGCTCTCTTTACACATTCTTTCACATGCGACTTGAACTCAGATGTGCGATAAAAAATCGAACTAAAACACAAAAAATTGACAAACAAATAGCTGACCAAGAAATGCAACCCAGTGATAGACTTGGCCCACCAACCACCTTGCCCTGATAAATGTTAATGCATCCAACCTAAAACGAATTAGCAATATAGACTAGTGAGACCCCTCAAGTATATAAACCAACTTTGGGTCTGCTTAATTTTTCAATTGGGATAGCTCTATTCCCAAAAAGCATCAAGTATACCTCCCTAGGAGCCATCAAACCCCCAAGCATGCAACTATTAATGCTTACCATAGGTAAGATATAACTCCTATTAATGTACATCTCAAAAGTTAGAACCTTTTGGGACTTAAAAAATATAAATTTTCAACCTTTGGAGATGCCCAACTCATTTCTCCCAAAGATAGAGATTGGGCCTAGAAGAATTCATAGCCTCCTAGTTGAGAAATAGTCCTATAAAAGCTTTTTTTTTTTGATAAGTAACCAAAAATATTATTAGTGGACAATAACTCCAAACCTCAAGTACAAAAACAAATCAACCAGCAACACAAGGCACCAAGCCAAAAAGGAAAGACCATTCTACACTAAGCCTAAGAAAAGTAGAAAAAAATTAGACAAACAGTAGCCCAATTGTTCAAAATACCAAAGAGTGCAACATTGCCAAAATCTTTTGTGTTTGAAGCTCAGAAAGAAGCAAGAAAGTGGATACGACTCCGTAAGCCTTCCACCTCTTCACATTTGTCTAAAAACATTCTTGCATTCCTTTCCAACCAAATCACCCACATAGTTGCAAATAAACACAAGCCATAGAACAACACCTATTGTACTTTTTCCAAAAGCACAGAAGTCCACACACACCATAGAAGCAAAAGTCCTTGGAGCCACCCACAATATATTGGCCACCTCAAAACATTTATTCCATAAATACCAACCTATTGAGCAATGCAAAAATAAATGATTCACACTTTCACAATCCTTCTACACATAACACACCATTGCGGTAAGAGACATATTTTTGGTCTTCTTTGTTGGAGCATATCATTCGTATTCACCTTACCAAGAGCAACCACCCATGCACACAATTTCACCATCAAAGGCACATTAGCCTTCCAAATTTTCTATAATGGATAAAAAATCGAGAGAGAAGACTCATTAATCAAAGACTCAAAAAAGGTTTTACAAGAGAACAAACCCGAAGAGTCAAGAATCCAACATCTTTTATCCAAAGATCAAAATATCGTTTTGAAACGTCCAAAACGTTTCCGTTTCCAAGGAGACCGAAACGAATTAGTGATGAAATCGAAATTCTAATATTTTGAAGTATTTTATAATATTTTGAGATGTATTATAATATTTCAATGCATTTGCACAATTATTTCAGAAAGTTTCAAGATATTTCAAGATATTTTGATATAAATAAATCAATGTTTTAGAAAAATAATTCTTAAATTTTTTTATTTTTTTCATTATGTTTTCGAAACGGGTCGAGACGTTTCCAAAACACATTGAAATATTTTTGTTTCCTAGGTAACCGAAACAATACACTGAAACGAAATTTTGATCCTTACTTTTATCCAGAAACATGACTTATTAAAGAAAGGAGATCAATCAAATCCAAAGTATTCGTATCATTAAGATTTCTCCAAAACCCAAAATCCCACAACAAATTGTAAGAAATGGATGAAACCATTGAAGCAATTGGAAAATGATAATACAATGAAAGGTTGTAAAGGCGAGAGAACATACTCTCCAAAAACGAACTCACCCACCCAAATATCTTCCCAAAACATCTCCATCTCCCCATTACCCAAAATATACTTGGTCTTTTGAATAAAGAGAAGCACACCCTGAGAAATGTACTATCATGGATTTCGAAAACTACCCCTTTCAAACCCATTAGCATCTCATCCATGTACTTGTAAACCATATTTACTTTTAATAATCATGTGCGACAGTGAATTTTGCTCCAACAGAAATTTCCATAGCCATTTCCCAAGTAAAGCAACATTCCTAGCCTTCAAGTTTCCCACCAAGAGACCACCCTTATTCTTGGACCTACAAACAACTTCTCATCTAATCAAATGATCTTTTCTTTCCTTATCACTACCTTCCCAAAGAAACCCTTTCATCATCCCTTCTATCTTCCTAGCAACCAAAGAAGGCAACTTTAGCAAAGACAAAAAATAAATAGGAATACTAGCCAAAACAGATTGAACTAAACTAAGGGGCTATTTGTTTATTGTCTTTGTCTTATGTTTTGTATTTTTGTTTTCAATTTTTCTCAAAAATGAAAACAAAAATATGTTTGATAACTATTTTTGTTTTTGTTTTATATTAGTTATTTGGAAACAAAGACAAAACAAGGGAACAAAAAATTTGTGTTCCAGAAAACAAGCAAAATACAAAACACGTATTTTTTGATTAAATGAGGTCTCAACTTCGAGTCTTGTTAGCCACAAAAGACGAGTTCATTTCTCAAAGTATAAATAAGGGGTCTTTTTTCTCTCTTCTCCTCCACACAGATCGACTATCCCTTCTCCTCCACTCTCAACAACTCTCTCTCTCTTCTCCTCTCTCTCTCAGCGACGAAGACAAACCGATGGTGCTCGGCCTACGAAGACGAACAGAAACCCTCTGTCGATCTCTCTCTTGTTGTGGATGTATATATATAAAACTCTATATACGTAGATCTGTGCATATACATAGATCTATGTATATACAACTTAGATCTGTGTTTTTGTCTCTGTGTGTCGATTTGTGGGTGTGTGCCCGTGTGTCTCTGTCAGCACCTTTTTGGACAAATCAAAATATTGCCACTGGAAATTGGGGTTGTTATATTGCACGAGTTGATTATGTGGGCTGCTGAAATTTATACCTCTTTCTATCAGGTGTCCTACAAGTGGCTGAGCCACAATTTTTTGGTGTCATCAAATGCTGCAAAGAGGTAAGGGATCTTATGAAGGATGGGTTCGCAAACTGTAATGGGTTTTAGTTTTCAATTGCCAAAAATTACATGTTCATTTTTCATCGGTAGATTGCTTCAAGTGTTTGTTGAAACACATGGAAGTGGGATAGAAATAGTATATAAGTTGTCTGGCTGGTTGAAGAATAATCCTTCAGTTTACCATATAAGGCTTGTTTCCAGGCCTAAACTTGCAGGTTTGATTTTCTAGTAGAATATGGTGTTGCAAATTGATGTCAATTAGCTTTATGAATCTTCTTTGTTTGTCTGTTTTCCTGTTCTGCTTCTTTTTTTTTTTCATAGTTGATTGCCCCTTGTTTTGCATAAGTTATTGGACTCTATGCCAATATATAAGTGAATGCATCGTTTCTCAGTGTTTGCTTTCTTGGCCTACTTCTTTGGCTTTGAGTGCAGAGTTTATCTGCAAGGGTCCAATATGGTTGCAGAGTGCTTAGCTTTATTGGATGGGCTTCAGTTGGTGAAAGAACAGAATTTTGGGAATTGTAAGCGGTGTATCGAATCAGATTCATAGGCTTGAGAGCTTGGATTACAATTTTGGGAATTGTAAGCAGTGTAAGCTGTCCAAGATTGTGAGGTTGCTTGAGAGCTTGGATTACAGCTTTTGCCATGTGTCCACAGGGAGGCTAATGCTGCTGCTGATTGCTTAGCCAAGCTGGATGTGCAGAACAGAGCTTCGCTGTGTATCCCAATGGCGTCTTCTTTGCCTGTTGCAGTGAAGATGGTGTTGCAGCAGGACAGAAGGGGTATTCCTGTTATGAGGAAAAGCTTTGCTTTTTTCTCTACCCAGCTGTGTAATGTGGTAGGGTTTTCTTAATTGTAATACGTGAGGTTGTAGGGTGTTTTGAAGGATTAAAGCCATAAACATGGCTTTTCATTTGCTTCTTGTAATTCTTTGAAATTCATTCAATAAAATTCTTCAATCGATCTCACATGAAATGTGTTGGGATAAGGAATTTTTTGATTTGTATGTTGTTGTATGAGATGTTATAAAGCTAATATGTAGGATATAACTTGAAGTACTTACCAAACATGTTTTTTATTTTTATTCTCATAATTTGATAAACACAAATGACTCCCAAACATGTTTTCTTTTCAGTGTTTACCACCAAAAAGAGACAAAATTATCTCTGTTTTTCATTTTTTTGAAGACGCGAAAACAAAAACGTTATCAAACGACTCCCAAGTCTTCCTCCTCTAGATATAAAAGCATTCTTCCATCCATTCAATTTTTTCCCAATTTTTTTCAACAATCGGATCCCAAAAACTCATAGCAAGAGGGTTGCCACCTAACAGAAGCCCCAAATAATTCATAGGCCACCCTCTAACTAGACACCACAAAACCCCAGCGACCCTACAAACCTTCTCCCGACTTGAATTAACTTCAACAACCATACTTTTATTCAAATTTACCTTAAGTCCCGACATAATACAAATGATCTCAACAATTTTTTTAATATTCAAGAGTTTCTCCTTATCCCCAGAAAAAAAGAAAACAATGTCATCCGCAAACTGCAAATGGGACACAATCACACCTTTCATAAAACCCTCCCTCAAATGACATCTGTCAACCCTTAACATTAACCCGCTTAACCCATGCACCACCAATGTAAACTAAAATAGTGTCCTGTAGAAGCCCAAAATCTACCCCTAGGTTTACCATTTAACATGACTGAAAAATTCATCGACCGTAAACATCTTCTAATCCATGTTCTCCATCTCATCCCCTACCCCCTTTTTCCCAAAACAAAATCAAAAAAATCCCAATCCACATAGTCATAAGGCTTCTCAAAGTAAATCTTAAAGACAAAGCCCTTAACCTCTCTAAATCTATAATCCTCAACCATTTCATTTACCACTAAAGCAATATCTAGAATCTGTCTCTCTTTAACAAAAGCACCTTGAAACCAGATATAGTCTCATTGAAACTTTCCCTTAACTTTAAGGAAAACACTTTAGCAATAATCTTATAGAGACTAATTACAACACTAATTGATCTAAAATCCTCTATCCTGGGAGAATTTTCTTTCTTTGGAATAAGACAAATAAAAGTAATATTTGTTATTTCATTTACAATTCCATTCTCAAAAAACTCAAGAAACACTAACATCAAATCATCATTTAACACTCCCCGCACTCCTAAAAGATAGCCATAGTAAACCCATCAAAACCAAACAATTTTCAACACTGCACTCAAAAATAGCTTTTCGAGCTTCCCCTCTTCGAAAGGTCTTTCCATCCATCTTGCAATCCCACCCTCAATGGAGCACCACTCAAGAACTTCCAATCTAGGTCTACAAACATCTGGAGCTGAATATAACCATGAAAAGAAACCAACTACCTCTCTCAATAGCTTCCTCCTCCTCAATAATCACACCATCATCAAATTCCAATTTATTAACGACTTTCTTTTTCCTATTCCCATTCGCCACCATGTGAAAAAACTTTGAATTAATATTCCCTTTCTTTGCCTATTTCACTCCAGATTTTTGTTTCCACCTAATCTCCTCTCAAAAAACAATCTCCTCAATTTTATTTCTAAGATCCATTCTCTCATTTTTCAGCCCCTCATCTAATCCTCCCCTCTCCTCAATCTAGTCAATATCCTCAATCCTTTCCATAATGAAAATTTTAGAAGCATACAAATCCCAAAAAATCTCCTTATTCCAAACCTTAAATTTCAGTTTTACAAACTTAAAACCTTCCCAACCCCTAAAGCATCCCTCCACCCACCACTTCTTAAATTCATTTTTAAAACCATAATGTTTAAGCCACATAACATGGACCCATTTAAAAACAGTACTATAACTTGAACCCCATTTAAGTGTTCTAAAACTCTGCCAATTTAAGATGGAAACTTAAAAATAAAAATAATAATTAGTCAACTAGTATGAAAATACTATATTTATGAACTCATCTGGGTTAACTTGAAGAAAAAAGGGGGGGGGGGCAGAGGGAGGAGGGAGGGGGAGAGAGAGAGAGTTATAGTTACCTAACAGTTTGATCAGTGTGAATCCCAACAAGTAAAAAATCTCCAAGTCCCCGTGCAAGCCTCAATATCTGTGAATCACAAGATACCAGATTGCCTAAAATCAGAACATTTGCACCCATAAAACCGAGTCATATAATATGTGCTTATTAAGAATTTGAGGAATTGAAAAGTTGAAATAAATAAAATATATACATTAGAAAAAAGAAGAGCTGTTTCAGGTGAATAAGAGAAAACACTTGGACATACAAAGAAACCAACAGGAAAAACAATGGTGAACAAGTAATGAAACGAAGTCACCTAGTTCTAAAAGATAAGTGCAAACATATCCCTGCGAAAAAAACATGCCATTGACATTCAGCTGCCAATGACAATCTTGAATTTTAACATAGCAATGCAACTTGATGTATTAGACAATTAATATATTCCAAGCGGAAACATGCAAGTGATATTATCAATCTGTCCAGACCATAATTGGAAATCACTTTGTGGTTGATGGAGGCCTCTTGCAGTTTTATTTTTCATTTGCTGATTTTTTTTGTTCTTGGGTTGGATATCTTATCCATCATTTTTAACTTTTCAAATGTCTATGAAATGAATATTTGTTTCTTATTCCAACGGAAAAATCTGTCCAGCTCATAAACACTGTGGTGGGCCATTAATCCATAGCATGCTAAATGAATAGGAATAATTCGCACCTCCACATGTCCAGCATGAAAAAGATCAAATGCACCGTCTATATAAACTATGCGAGCATCCGGTCCAGGCCCCTATCAGCAAGGCACAAATATCATCAAGGATCAGAAAGTAGACCTCAAAGGCAATTTCTGTATAAAAGAAATAATTTAAGAAGGCGATCTCATATAAGTACAAGAAACACTAGATATCCTTAAAGAAAATAAAAGAGTGAATTAAGGTAGTACATGACCTAAGCCTAAAGTGACAGTGTAGTGAAGGCCCCTTCTGCACAAACCAGGAGGAAAAAAGAGAGAAAAAGGCAGAGTACTGGACAAATGTTAAATTCTCTTGATATGGTAAATCTGGAATGAATAATGACAATCATATGACACTGGCTTAACTAAATAGAAAAAATAAGTTGAAGAACGAAAATCCGAGATGTCTACTTCAGCAGAGGTGTGAATGGTTCCATTAACCAACCCCTCAAACCTAACAAAGGATACCAAAAGACAAGTAGAAGCCTCTCATCCTCCCCTGGGAAAAAATTCTAATTTTTTCCCAAGTCATGAATGGTTCCCTTGCTCTTATTTGCTCCTTCATTAGTCTTCCAATTAAAGTTGATGGTAGATGCAACTTCACATTTTTTCCTCCTCAGTCATTCTTATATTCTATGAAGCATGGACACGGACACATACACAACATTTTAAAAAAAAAAAGTAAAACACAGGCACATGCACAACTTTATAAAAAAAAAAAAAGTAAAACACGGACACGATGGGACATGCTACATATATAATGATAATGACATATTATTAATAAAAAAATCAGTATTTTATGGTAAGTAAATGTTATGTTTAGTCATCTAGTTTGAAATTTTAGACTAACATCATAATAGTCAATAATCATCAATTTTTTTGTAGACTACCATCATAATAGTCAACAATCATCAATTTTTTCATAGACGTGTACCAAGCACATATATTTTAAATAATTTATCTCATTTTCTCAATTGTTTTTTTTTTCTAAATCTTTAATTTATATTTTGAGTACAACTTTAACATGTTTAATTTTGATAATAGTATGTTCTCTCATAGTATAAGCTACTTATTAGTTAAATTTTAAGCTTTGTTAATTACTTGTCATCATCGAAGAAGTGTCGGACATATGTCCGAAATTAAAATATTTTCATTTAATTATGGATACAGATAAAAGAGTATTGGACAAGTGTCCTAGAGTGTCCATAGCTTATATTTATGGAAAAAATTTAAACCAAAGAACCAACCCTCGAACCTAATCAAGGATACCAAAGACAAGTAGAAGCTTCCTATCCTCCCCTCGAAAAAACACTGAAATTTCTTTCCAGTATCATGTCACAAGCCAGGTTTGGTTTGAGTGACTTATAGAACAGGTTTTTCTTTTTTCCAGTAATATTAAACAGATGAAAACCCCAGACCATGGAAATAATAAATCCCTACATAATGACCTCCCAGCTGCAACATATCAGCAGCATCCATCCATGTTTGGTCTTTTGAACTAGCATTTGCCCCTTACATCTTAATCCCCATTATCACTTGACAAACCTGAGCAAAAATGGAGAGAGAGAGAGGGGGGGGGGGAGGTAGAGGAATGCCAAGAGAGAAGAAGGAACAAGAAGGTTGAGGCAATACAATGACACAAATACCACTTCGTTATGCCATTGGCCACCATTACATGATAATATAGCATACCAATTCTCAATAGGCACCCCTCAAGCAAAGGAAAAGAACAAAAGGGAGGGGGGAACTAATGAACAACCAAAGAACTACAAAGAAGGAAGGGAAAAAAAGTTACCACTAAACTACATAATTTATGAAATTTGACTCTTAACTATCGATAATCCGAACTAAGAAAACTACTAAATAAACAAGTATATACAGGAAAGATTATGATTATGAACATAATAAATACCTTCCCATTGGAGAATTGCACAATTCTGCGAGAGGTTGGAAGAAAATGAGATATGCGCGTTCCACTTCCAGAGGCACCATCTTCAGATTTTTGGCTGTGACCATGGCTGAATTGCCTTTGCAAGGAAGAATGATTGTTGCTGTCACTAGTGGACCTTTCTCTCACACAAAGAAGCATACGACCTATTTCACAACATCACCAAACAACTCATGGTTCCACAGACAGTAAACTGAGATAATTAGTTTCTGAATTTTATATCAGCATAAACAGCTTAACTACCTAACTGCTGAAAAAAATTCAATATATCAGAAACATAAGGAAATTTGTTTATACTTCAACATTGTGCCTATCACCACAACAAACCACCATAAAATGCATGACACCCTCCCCCCTCCTACCCGCGGAAAAAGGACTCATTGCCACTCAAACACAGCTATACACAGAGGGAGGCAAAAAATATACCAACAATGTCAGTGCTTGACACTCCTTCTGTACGCTTGATCTGCTTATAGCGGCCAGCCTTCTTTGCAAGAGCATAAGCATCAGTTCCATCAGGAAGAATGCACGGGTCATCACCGTGAATAATGTAATCTATATTGTACTCATCAAATAACTTTTTCATGAAATCTTCAGTAATAGCGTAAGGCGCATCAGGTATAACCTCATCCACCCACTTCACAGCACTAACCATAATCATCCTATAACAAAAATACCGGCATGTGCAAAAATGAGTTATTTGCTTGATGGTACAATAAAACATTCGGTTATGTAAAGAGTAATTTAATAATTTCTCAAGCAAATGAGTATGTGCAATTGAAGATGAGAAGCATTATAAGGAAAGATCCGCTGGACTTCCATCACAACGTGGACACAATCCTCCCCTTCTAGATGCTAAACACATTAGACTAACATTCATTAAATGAAATAAGCACCCCTCCTCTAGGGAAATGGCAACAAAACAGTGAGTTGGATCTCTCATTTAAATCAGCTACAAATGATTCGAATCCAAGTAAGCTAAACAGAAAGTACAATAGTACAACATATGTCACACATGGCGCAACTCAACTCATCATCTTCTGATCCCTATATTTTCAGTGATCCAGGAAGTTTTCATGTACCACCAAGATAGATGTCTATAGCCAGTATTTCAATATCAGATTGGTTTGCTAAACTACCTCGGTCTATGAGAGTTCTTTAAAGCTTTTGAGTGGACATACTCTTTGATTCACACTTGCTTAAGAATGATCAGATTAGGTAGACAGTAGCCTAATCTGCACCCCAAATAGTTCATATGATTTACCTATTTGGGCAGTTGTAGGCTTCTAGCCTATTTTTGCCTCATTCCTGAGCTATCTTACATGTTACATTTTAATGCAGAAACAGGGATTAATTTTTTTTTGATAGGAAACATGAATTTTATTGATACTGGAAAAAAAATCATAAAAAAATACATAAGAAATCTCTCATTTTCTTTTCTATCTTTGTCACCAGTTTTAAAGGCAATCGAAATAGAGACATGTAATAAAGAGGAATACTATGAAGAATTGAATGAATTAAGGTGACTCTACCTCCCCTAGACAAATAAGCTTTCTTCCAACTATCTAACCATTTCCCAATCTTTTGGATCACGGGCTCCAAAAAACTTAAGGAATTTAGGTTATCCTCTAAAGATAATCCCAAATAATTAAGTGGCCATTCTGAAATAGAGCATGTTAAAGTTCCTATCAACCTATCTAACTTCTCTTGTTGTACATTAATTCTTCCAATTGCACTCTTAGACAAATTCACTTTCAGACCAAATACCAACTCAAAACATCTCAAAATTAAAGAGATTGTTTTAATATTCTTTTCAAGTCCACCATAGGAAAAAATTGTATCATCCGCAATCTGTAAATAAGTCACTTCCGCACTATCCCTCCCAACTTTAAAACAATCCATCTCCCCTCTACTACTAACCCGATCCACCATCCTACTCAACACATCCATCACTAATGTAAATAGAAATAGTGAGAGAGGATTTCCCTATCTAGGACCTCTAGTAGTTTTGAAGTACCCTTTTGAACCCCCGTTAACAATAACCAAAAAATTTATTAATTTTAAGCAACCCATTCCATAACATAATTCAAAAAAATTTCAGTCTACCATATCATATGCTTTTTCAAGATCAACCTTAAAAACAATCCCCTCCTCCTTCTTTTCCGTATTCTCCTCAACAATCTCATTGGCAACAAGTACCACATCCAATATTTGCTATTCCCTAACAAAAGCTCCTTGAAAACAAAAAGGGTTTCCTCCAAGACCTCTTGAAGTCGCCTCGAAAGGAATTTAGCCAAGATTTTGTATAAACTTCCTTTCTTTTTTCTAAGTGAAATTCTCCCCATAGGCCGAAAGTCCTTTATCCTAGAAGACCTATATTTGTTATGAATAAGACAAATAAAAGTGGCATTTGTGAATGAATTCCCAATAACATTCTCAAAACATTCAGCAAAAACCTTCATCAAATCCCATTTTATTACCTCCCAACACTTTTGAAAAATTGTCATAGTAAACCCATCCAAACCTGGAGACGTATCTCCACTTAACTCAAAGACTGCCACTTTAATCTCTTCCTCTCCAAAAGATCTCTCAAGCCATATGGACTTACTCTCTCTAACAGGATGGCGATCAAGACCCTAACTAATTGGCCTTTGAGAACCTTCTGAAGAAAACAACTTAAGAGAAAAAAAACCAAAATCTCAATAGTTATTAAATTATCTTCCTCAATTACATTCCCCGTCTCTGATTCAATTCTTATAATAAATTTCTTTCTCAATTTTCCATTTGCTATAGTGTGAAACAACTTAGAATTTTCATCACCCTCCTTCACCCACTTAACTTTAGTTTATTTTTCCAACTACTTCCCTCCTTCAACAACATATGGTCAAACTTATTTTGGAGGCCACGTCTTTCCCTCCTTACATTCTCTCCAATGCCACTTGAAAATTCAAAAAAGTCAATGTCCAGAATTCTTTTCAAAATACTTTCCTTCTCCATTCTAAGATCACCAAACACAGTTCAATGCCATACTTTCAATTTATGCTTCACCCAGTTTTTGCATGAATTTAAATCCTTCCCAACCCTCCACCACAGCCTCATCCCACAATTCGTTTAATTTTTTTGCAAAAGACTGATGTTCAACCCAACCCACATATTCTCAAACAGTAAGATAATGCCAATTCTATGTGGAGGAGAACATTTACAATGAGTCATATAGAAGAAAGATGAGGTCATTCACTATGTTCAAGGATGCGCAGCAGAACCAACTGTGAGAAATCCCACACAAAGTGATTGCCCAAAGATTAGATTATGAACTAGTTAGAGCTTGCAATTCATCCGCAAAATAAAGAAAATAAGCAAAAAAGCAGGTGCCATAGAAAGATTTAATAAAACAAGAAATGACATGAAAGATCAATAGATATCCAAAATCAATTATATATAAATGTGTGCGTGTGTGTGTTTACAGATAGAAAGAGGAAAATCTATCAAATGAGCGTCTATCGTTATGCAGGATATAGATCCGCCAACAACAAATCCAAATTCATATTGGCAACAAAATGACGTTTGTTTAAAAGCCCGTATTTGTTGAGAAAGAAAAAAGAGAGAAGGGAGGAAGTTTTAAATTGGAAACTCAGAAACCAAATGAAAGGCAAGGGAAACGATAAGGAAAAGAGTAGAAGGGAAGTACACCTCTCGTGAAGAGGAGTGACGGGAGGGCCTTTGTTGGCAGTGATTTCGGCATCGCTGACAACGCCGACAATCAATTGGTCGCCAAGGGCTCGAGCCTGACGGAGGGCGTTACAATGGCCGTAGTGCATCATATCGAAGCAGCCATCCATGTACACCCTTATGGGCCTCTTTTTTTTCTTCCTTCCCCATATTGCCAGCGGACTCTGAGGCAAAGCAAAGCAGAACAGGGACACCCCGAGGACCACTCCTCCGATCAGGCAGGTCGCCAAGAACCTCGAACTCTGCTGTATGTTTTCCCCTTCTGAACCCCCCATCATTCCTTCCTGCTCTCGGCTCTCCCCACGCCCGCGTACTAATTATGCTACTTGTATGTGTGTAGATACACGGCAGATCGAGTCTGCACTATAGGAACACAATTTTCCTGCTTTCCCTCTTTTCCTTTTCACCTTTTGTATTTCTTCTTTTTTTTCAACTATTTAATATGTTTTAGCATTCCAATGGATCTTCGTTTCGGACAAAAAAAAAAAAAAAAAAAAAAGGTTAATTGCAAATTATACCTTGAAAGATTGTGTAAAATCTTAATTTATGCCGTTAAAGATAAAAATTCTTAATTTATACCCTTAAAAATAAAAATTTATATCAATATGCACCCCCAAAGATAAAAAATCTCAATTTTCACCCTCAAATATAGAAATTTGTATTAAAGTGCAACTAAAACTAACCATCATCAATTTGTTGTTTAAAACTAAATTGATAAATTATAGCTAGATCCCCTCATACTTGTCATTTAATTATTTAAACCTCTTCACATTTAGAATATTACTCCTACATCTTATGATGTTTGTACACGTATAACATGTAACCCATTTTCGTTATTATTTGAATGTCTAATAGAATAAAGAGTTGTACATTGAGTGATATATTACATTGGATATAAAAAATATTATATAAATATCTACATTCTATTGGAAATTCAAATGATAAGCTTGATTTTGAACTTTAAAATACGTCGAATCCACAAAATAAAGGATAATATAAAATTAATTTTTTTTATTAAGATAAAATCATATTTTTTAACGATTATATTAACAAATATCAACGAAAATGGGTTACGTGTTACATGTGCATAAACGTCACGAGATGTAGGAGTAATATTGTAAATGTGAAAGAGTCCAAATGATTGAGTAACAAGTATGAGGGGATTTAAGTATAATTTATTAATTTAATTTTAAGTAGCAAACTAACGCGGTTAGTTTTAAGTGCACATTGATACAAATTTATATTTTTGAAGATATAAATTAAGATTTTTTATTTTTAGGGTGCACATTAATATAAATTTTTATATTTGAGATTGTAAATTAAGATTCAAACGATCTTTTGGAGTGTAATTTATAATTAACAAAAAAAAAATGGCTCTTCCTTTGTCTTTTTTTTTTTTATATTTCCTCCTTATTGGGGATTGCTTGTAATGGTTTTTTCGGGTGAAGTTGAAATCGTGAATAGTGCATTAAAGGCAGGTGGAGAATATATTCAGTATAAAAATAAAGCTTGTTAAAAAAAATAAAAAAAAAGGAAGAAATCTTTAAAAAAAAAAATTGTGATTAATAGCTGGGCCGGGCCTGGCTCGGACTCACTTTACTTTGTGCTCTTTCCATTTCCTTCTTTTGGAACTAAAGAATAATCCCCTCCAAAATTCCTGACAGCGAAAGGCCACCCCCCGTATTAAATTGGTGTTGTTACCCTTTTCCTGTGTCAAAGGTATTCCCCCACCATCCCTCTACTGAAGGAAGAAGATATACAGATAGGTGGATCGATCACACCAAATTTCCCAGTTTCATCAAAAGTATTCCCCCAGCATCCCTCCACTGAAGGAAGAAGAGATACAGATAGGCGGATCGATCACACCAAATTTCCCAGTTTCATTAAAACCTCTTTTAATTCTCAATAATATGTCTTCCACGGCGGGTCTGGTGCCTATAACCAGGGCATTTCTGTCTTCGTATTACGACAAATACCCATTTCCTCATCTTTCCAATGACGTATCACGTCTTTCTGATCTGATTCGCTCCATGGCTAGCGAATTGTACAAGGACTCTCCTCTAACGGAAGGTGAATTTCTTGATCGCTTTAATTTGTGCGCAATCCTATGGCATATTACTCTTATCTTTTCCATTGTCACGGGTCGATTGACTTAGGGGGCTCCGGTTTTTGTTTGATCGAGTAGAAGAGCTAGGATAGACGACCCATTTGACTCTACTTTCAGTCGCCTGATTTTTTAGGGGAATTACCTTTTTTTTTTGCATTTGGGCCAATGAAGTGTGCAAATTATTCTGGTCAGCGTTAGAGGACTGCAAAATGGTAAAGAACATTTCGTAAGACATGCATTGTTAGCATCTGACTTGATCGTTGCATTCAGGGGTGGCTCGAGACAATTTGGGGGTCTAAAGCGATTGCTCTAAATGACGCTTTTATGTTTAGTGTTAATATTTTTTATTTAAAATTAATTTTTCTTACTTTTTGAGTTACAAAAGTATTAATTAAGGTTTTATATTTAAGTTGTGCTACCATATCTTTCTCAGTTGATAGTATCGCTAATCCAGTTAATTTTTCTTGTGATATTGTCGATGTTAAGTAAGATATTATCAATTTTAATTTTGAAAAGCTTCTTTTCACATAAGCGATTGTTACAAAAATTATTAATAATATTCTATAAGCAATGCATGCATTTAGAAAATAATTTAAATTTTTTATATAATTTAGTATCTCAATTGGAGTATTTTCTTTTGTTTGTAAAATTTCTTTTAAAATATGTAGTTCTAAAAATAAATCTAAGCCATCAATATCGAAAAAAATTTCGTATAAAAACATTCGAGATCCAAACAATATTGTTTTAAACTATCATTGGTCAATGATTTTAATTTTTCTAAGTTAAATAAAAAACTAAAAATATTTTCGTATTTTTGTATTTGTTCAAATCTATTTTTTAATAAAAAAATAGCTTGATCAATTATATATGTAAAATAATTAATTTTAAAAGATTTTTCAATAGATTGTGTCATCAACATTTTCATCAAATTGTTTTTTCCTACGAACTCTACATTTTTCACGAAATATAGGTTTTATACCCATTTCACATGCAATCTCTTTAGATGAAATCATGACATTTGTAAATTTTCTTTCTCTATATTTTTCAAAAAAAGAAATGAGACCTTTTAATTGATTTATAGCAATATCAATATGCATGTCTTTTGATTGTAAATATTTACTAACTAAGTTGACAGAAAATAAAATATCATACCAAATAGTCATGCTCAATAAGAATTCAAAATTGTCAATCTCATATGTTGCTAAACAATTAGCTTCACTCCTTGTTTTAGGATCTTCACTAGTTTTCGCTAATTGCAATAATGCATCTCTTATTCTTAGAGCTTGAAATCTTATTGCTTTAACACTTTCAACACAACTTTCCCAACGTGTTTGTGATAATGTCTTAAGAGTTAAATCTTGAATATTATCTTGTAAAATTTTTCATCGTTTTGTGGAAGAGGAAAATAATGAATATATACATTGTACTATTCCAAAAAATGATATAGCTTTGGGACAAGAGTTAAATTGAATATATACATTGTACTATTCACAAAGTACTAGATTTAAATTATGACAACCACATGGTGTGTAAAATGCTCTATGATTTATATTGAGTAGCCTTTTTTGTACACCTTGATGTTTTCCTTTCATATTAGACCCATTATCATATCCTTGTCCTTGTACATCATTAATATCTAGTTCAAGATTACTTATTACATCTATAAGTTTATCAAATAAACCTTTTCCACTCGTATCATCTACTTTAATAAATTCTAAAAAATATTCTTCTATTTTTATTGAACTTATTGTAATATCTACGCGTCGTAATATGAGAGATATTTGTTCTTGATAACTTGCATCGGGAGTACAATCAAGTATGATTGAATAATATTTTACTTATTTAATTTTTTTAATAATATGGCTTCTTACTTCATTTTCTAACAAATTTATCAATTCATTTTATATGTTATGCCCAATATAATTGTTATGAATTCTATTTTGTTGAATACGACGAACGTGTTCTTGCATTATCGGATCAAATTCCGCAATCATTTCACTTAAACTTAAAAAATTGTCCTTATTTTCTTGATATATCTTTTCATTTTTTTCCCGGAAAGCTAAATTATTTATACCAAAATTCTTTACAACGGCAATAATTTTTACTAATACATTTTGCCAATATTTTTCTCTCTATTAATTTGTTCTTGGATACTTTTATCAATTGTTTTATTTAGTTGCAATCTTATTTCTAATTCAATTCAAGTATTCATATTAGTTATATGCTCATTAGTTATTTCATGATTTTTAAACTTAACACTAATATTTCTCCAATCTTTTGTTCCTTCATTAGCTAGTTTACTTGTAGAATAATTCATATCGAATAACTTGCAACAAAAAGAAAATACTTTATCCAAATCTTTTGAATATACTAGTCATCTTCTATCAAGTGTTTTCCCATTTGTTAATTTGCGAATATAATGTGTAGTAGAAAAATGTCTAGAGTGTTCATCCCTAAGAAAATCTAAATTATTATATCTAATTGGACCATTTTTTACTAATAAATCTCTTAATTTCGTATCAATATTTTTTCATTGACTTGAATCATAAATATTTATATGACTATAATCACTTGTTTCGTTAAGATTTTGATTGTCTTCTATTTCATTATCTTTTATTTCACTATTTTCTTTTTCAATATTTTCTATTTCATTATCCTATATTTTATTATCTTTTATTTCAATATTTTCTACTTCAATATTTTTTATTTCATTATCTTCTTTTTCAATATTTTCTATTTCAATATTTTTTATTTTATTCTCTTCTATTTCATTATCTACTTGTTCATTTTCAAAATTTTCATCTAAATTTTTTGTTACTAGTAACAAATTTATCAAGAGATCTTTTTTGAGATTCTATTAGTTGATCTATTTTTTTTTTTTTTAATTTTTCGTATCCACTTGGTTGTCTTCTAGGTGCAATATTATTAATATATTATAACTATAAAACAATCAAACAAACACAATATTTAGTATAGTTAAAAATATATAACAAAAAACTTTAAAATTATGAAACAGTAGAACATGACTTGAATGATCTCAAATGTTGGTTTTTTGGTTTTAAACCATGTCCCTTATGTTGCAATGAAAACTCGAGTTGATGATGGAGGATGGAGTGGAGGCCGAGTCACCGCCACCAAGTCAGTCACCCGAGTGATCTGTGAGTTCCCTGTTGTAGCACTTGGCAAAAAAAAAAAAAATGATCTGTGAGTTCTGTGAGTTCTCAAGTCTTGAGAGCACTGTGAGAGAGAGAGGGGGACGAATAAGAGTTTTTTTTTTGTTTCAGTTTAATGAGAGAGAGAAAGAAAAAAAATTGTTTTGGTTTAGTTGGTTTGGTTGGTTTACCGAGAGAGAGAGAGTGTTAAAAAGAAGATATGATTTGACTTTTAGATTATTTTGGTGGCTTTAATATGACCTTTCATTTTTTTTTTTATATTGTTAATTTTTTTTAGATATTTAATGCTTGGATTGAATTATGGGCCTAAAATAGTTGATTGGGCTTATATTTTAATAAGGCTTTTTTTTACATGGGTTATTTACAACGTTTAAAAATTTGGGGCTTTCCTTTGAAACGGGGCCTAAAGCCCAGGCTTTTTTACACCAGCTGTTGGCCCGACCCTGGTTGCATTGCTGTGCTATTGTCTACCTCAAATGCAAGTAACGAGCATAGCAGGGAAGCTTGTTCGGAGCCGATTTCAGTTGGGTAGTTAATTGTGGTAATCTGTCATTGCTACTTACTTGAAAAAAGAAAATAATAAACATAGCCGCATAGTACGCCGGTCATAGATAGGAAGAATAGTGCACTTAAGATACCTTCATGTTGACTAGGAGGAAAGGTTTACATGGATAGCTTCCAGGCTCCACAGTTGAGGAAAGTAGGGTGACGCAGTGTGTAGAAGTTTCAGAATAACTAAAGTGGTAAGTATATTTTAAATCTGTTGTTTGTTTCCAATGTTTGTGTGGACATGAGAATTAGGAACAATGAGCTGTGCATCATATGGAATTTGGATATAGAGAACGTATGTGACTATGTTTGTTGGGGAATTTGATACTTGTGTTGGAGGCTTGGAGCGAACAGGTTCTGGGTCATATATGCATGCCTATTGTCAATTAGACCTCAATTATTGCTAATTGTACTGTGGCATTTGTCTTTGAAAGCTCTAAGAGTTGGAGGCCAGCAGATATGCTTTCTCCATTTCTTTTAGTTTGTTCACAGTGGGTTTCAGAAGGATGATTGATTGTGCAATGGCAGGAGGTATTGAGAGGTTTCTTAGTAGCAGCTATGAGGGGTTACCATTTTGTCTTGATGGAAAACTATTAATGGTATTTACGTTGTATTCTTGAATGATTCAAGTTATATCATTTGAATGTTATGGGCTACAGTGAGTGATCTTATTAGACAGTCATAGAATGTGCAAGGCTTGTCAGAGGACTTGGCCTGCTAAGTTGTCTACCTCCAGGCTTCAGCCATTACACTTGGGTCTTCCTTTGGGGTTTTCTTTATAATTGCTGGTAGATGACAAACATTGGCATGCTAATCCTCATTAAGATCTCTCATCTCTCCCTTGTGGTATAGCCCTAGGGTTAATGAATCACTATCGAACTTTTAGGTTTGAAGATAAGCTGTTACCCAATTAACATTTATGAACATCAAACAATGGTCAAAGAGAATTAATCAAATAGGAGTAATAGTGATATGGGAACCAAGTATAACAACATTATATTTGGAGAACAAGTTTGACAACATTCAAATTGGGCATAACAACTCAACAAGGTTTGAATGCTACGTGACCTTCCCAATTGATGATTCAACTTTAGGAAAGAGACAGTAACCACCAGCATAAGCTGTGCAGATATGAAGAGTTGGATGCTAGTGGTTTGTTTGGTTCAATTCTATACTATAGTAATAGGAATCATGTTAATAAGATCTTTTTCAAATTTATGATTTTGTAAGATTTAATGGTTACATCCGTCAAATATATCTTTCTTTTGGAGAGAAACAAATATATAGGTGTTGAGAAAAATTGTACAACATGGGAGAAGGAAGGGACAATGGCAAGTCTCATTTGTTATTATCGTGCAAGCCATCAGAAGCCAGAAAGTTTCTGCCAACTATGGAGAGAAAGCTTCTATTGATAAAGGAGTGAATTAGAGATACGGAAAGAGAAGGGTGGAGGATAAAAGGAGAAAGAACGAGGGAATGTGTGGAGAGGAAAAGAAGAGAGGGAACAACGTCGCATAGAGAGATAAAAAGGCACATCCAACAGTTTAAATTGTCCTTGAAGTATATGAAAGGACCCTAAACTCCTTGTCCTATTGTCTCCTACGGCTTATGTGTCTCCATCCAATAATATCTAGGTGCCAAGCCACTTATGTAGTTATGTGTAAGATATGTGACTGCTTAAGGGAGCCATAGACTTGATTAGATTAAAGTAGTATTGGTTTATGCCTATTTATAATTAGACAAATGAGTTTCTTCGCCAGTTGAAGAAATCTGTTTGCATCTTTTGTTGCATGCTCTTTGTAGAGGCTAAATTCGGTTTCCAATAATTTTTCGGTCCAGGTCTGGAGCTAGAAACGGTGGTTGATACGCGGCAGATGACCTCTCCATTGAAGAATTATAGCTAGGAGCACTTTAAATAGGTCATGGGCAACCTCCCGCCATAGGACATGAGCCACAACAAGATAATGGTTAGTTAATCCTAAATTTAAGATAGATCCTTCTTTCTTGGACTTTTGTCAATATTTACATTCTAGCCTTACTACCAAAGCAACTAGAATGGCTAAAGGACATAAGTATTATATTGCTGGTGAGGTTGCATGCTTGTTAGAGCCAAGTGATGGGGAACGAAAAGGAATTCGATGAAGCTTGGAATGAGAGATTAGGGTTTTAGAAATCTATTTAGGCATTATTCATTGGAGTGTGAGCTTGTTTAGATGCAATTCAGGTTGAAGATGTGCTTTGCCAAAACTAAATTTCTTGAAGTATTTTATTGCCACAACTCTGCGGAGGAGTTTTTTTCTCTTTTGGGAAGAAATGATGGGTATGAAAAGGAATAAGATGAATCTTTGAATTTAAGATTAGGGTTTTAGGAATATATGTTGGTATTATTATATTGTCCCGTGATCCTGCATCACTAGGGATTGGATTAGAATTCTCAGGTTCCTTAGTGATGCCTTATTGTAAGTGGTTATAGTAACGTGCTATTAAAGAGAATATTTTATGGATATGATGGTGGAGGGGAGTTTGGGAATAAGGTGGCGGTTGGAATTCCTGAAATATAAGAGCAATCTGTTAGAATGGGAGGGATTCTGTAAATATGTTTTCTTTAATGAGCAATGGTCAGAAGTTTAGCGTTTTGATGATATGTGTGCATGTTATCTGGAGGATTACTTTAGTGTCACTTTTGATGAGGATGCTTGCCACGAAAATTATGTCAAAATTACTGGAAATGGTATGGTGGGTGCCTTGATTAAAAGAGCTCTACAAGATAAGAAGATGATGACATTTGATGCATATTTTGAGAAGCTCTTAGAAACTTCTTGGTTTGGGCATAAGGTTTATCTTTTAAAACCACTTGGGCATGTTTATCTGGGTCAGATCCTTCTACTAAGCTTGGTTTGGAGACGGTCAGATTTCATATTGATAGGCATTTACAATGATCTACCTTTTCATTGGCATTTTTGTATTGAGTTCCTCTAAAGTCATCCTTTCTTTTAGGTCAATGTGTTAGGAATTAGGTGCCATTTTGAACATGAATAATTTGAGGTGAAATGGTAGGTTTTATGCATCTGGTTCTTTATGTGCAAGATTATCGAGGAGACTGTTAGTCTCCTTTAATTTATTGGGCGGTTGTTATAGTCCTTTCGTAGTGAGTTGCTATCTTTTTTTTTCGCTTTTTGGATCATGTACAAGTTGCTATCGGAGCTCATCAGTTGTGGGTGGGCACATTGTACTATCATAAGGGTTGTTAGGTCTTGAATTTGTCTAATGTGGTTAGTTAGGGAATAGTAAGATGGGTAGGCCATTAAGGATAATTGGCTGCTGGTCATTGCTTGAAGCAAGTGCGACTTTAACTCTTAAATGGGCCGTTAGAAAGTTTCCAAATTGACATTCGGGCATTTACGTGTTTACTTTGATTTCTATAGTTGTTGAAATACCAAAGATACCTAAAACTTTCTAGACAATCAAAAAACTAATATTTAAAAACATCACTATCATAGGGATTGTTTGCATCTCAGAAAGGATCTACTCTACTGCATTTTATAAGGCATAATTTTTTTAGTACGTTAAAATTTTTCAGAAATGATACTATGTAATCTGTGAGATGAATCGTTTTCTCCATTATGACTTATATTTGGCCCAAATGGTATTTTAGGAGAAAGTTTATTGGTTCATGAAGCGGAGTGCCAGCCTCCCCATAAAATTGATGAGAACATGTGGAAGAACCGAGAACAGATTGAAGAAATTATTTTTTTAATGGAAAGCTCTCAGTGGCCAAAAGTGGTGAGACACAATGTTTCTTAAAGTTATTCATTTCTTACTTAAAAAAGTTCCCCATGATTTGTTGTGAAGGCTATTTTTTCTTTTTGCTTTGGATTTTGTGACATGGCATCTTCAAGTTTCACTTCATATGTTAACTTTGAGTGTGTTTGGTAACGTTTTTGTTTTTGTATTTTCAAAAAAATAGAAACAATTTTTATTTTTTGTGGTAAAAAATGGAAACATAAAACATGTTTGGTAATTATTTTTGTTTAACAAATTATGAAAACAAAAACAAAAAACATGTTTGATAACCACTTCATCTTTGACCCAATTATTATGTTTTCATTCCCCCAACTCCAAACCACCCCTTCCTCTGCTACACTCACACACACAAACTCCAAACCCTAAATCCCCCCAACTCCAAACCCCTTCCCTCTGTTGTCTCTGTTTTCCCCCACTCTAACCCCTCTGTTTATCTTTTTTTGTTGTGAATTCAAAGCAAACACACACACACACACACACACACACAAACTTGGGGTTTTTAATTTGATGAAATTGGGGTTGTTAATTTGATGGAATTGGTGTCAATGTTAATTGTTATGTAGCTGTTAATGTTAATGCTAATTTTTTTATCAATTGTTTTAATTGGATGACATTGAGGAAATTTGGGAATGTTAACATTGAGGAATTTTGGGATAATACAAATGAAATTTGGGAATGAAAATTTAGGGAAATCTGTTACGCCCACACACAGATCCCATATCCCAAATGCCCTCAAACCCATCTCTATTTTTCCCCACCTCTAACATCCTGTTTTCCCTCCCCCCTCTCTCTGCTACATGCACACAAACCCCAAATCCAAACCTAAACCTGCCCATCTCTGTTTCATCTCTCTTTTTCCACACACCCACACACAGCACACCCATAGCATGCACAAACCCACACACTGCCCACACAGAACAGAGGCGCACACACAAATACAAATACACAAAACAGACACACATGCACAAACGCACCCAGATCCAAACAATTTCTAGGAGATATAGAGAAACTGTATCTGAGATATTGGGAGATGGCTCTGCTTAGATTTGTTAGTTGCTCTCGGTCGGTGGTGGTTGGTTGCTCAGTGGTTGTTGCAGATGATCAACGCCTCATCCATTTCTCTCCGCCAGAACAAAGCTAATGAGGATGTCGACAAAGAGAGAAAGACAAGAAGGCGAGAGAGAGAGATTAGGGCTTTTATACTTCCAACAAAAAAACATGTAAATTGTTGTTAATAGGGTTTGAAGGTGAGCCTTCATTAAATCCTTCTCATGCACATTTGTGTTTTGAGTTTTTGGTTTTCTGAAAACATCAATTTCTGGTTTGCAAAATCTGGAATTGTTTTCAAAACAAATTGGATTGAAAAAAAATGAAAACACATCCCAAACACGTTATTGTTTTTTATTGTTTTGGTAAAAACTGGAAAGAAAAAAAAAACAAATGGTTACCAAAGGCTACCTTATATATTCACGCTTCACTTGCCCTGCCAAGTGTGTGTTGGTAGTGATAATATGATCACAAATTTGCTAAAAAACTTAAAAAAATTACAATTGTATAATACTAAATTTTGCATTTATCTCCCAAACACAGCTTCAACAACAATCAATTGCTGAAGATGCTGAGCTTGCTTCTGTTCTCGTACGGCTAAAAGATAACTTCAAAAGCACTTTGAAGATGTTAGAGTATTTTCAATGCAAGAATTCTGAATATGTATTTAACACAGGTTGGTTCTCTCTTATGCTTTCAAATATCTTGGAGATCTTATGCTTGTGTTTAGGGTGGTTATGAGTTCAATTTACATCTTAAGATCTATCAGAAATATTCTGCAAATGAACTTGTCCTTATTTCCTTTATGCTTGAAATCTGCTATATGTAACTCTCAAAAATCCATCTTTACAGAAACTTGTGACACTCTGCAACTGAGATTTTTTGGATTATGGAACTGAACTACAACATTAGACTAGTGGTTACAACATTAGATAGGTGGTTTGGGAAGTTATAGTCTCGGAAATAAGGGTAGGATTGGGAGGTAATGGATTTGAGGCACTTTGTGCAGATCTTGTTAAGAGTGGACTTTGAAGAGATGCAGGACCAAAAAATTCAGTTACGATACTTAGAAATTCAGAATGACAGGAAAGTTTTGGAACTACCTTCTTTATTCAACTTAACAAAACTTTAATTTCAACTATTTGGGGTCGGCTACATGAATCCTGTTTCTCCATTGCGCTCTATTAATTGTCATATATTCTATTAGATCATGTGTTGTCATCTTTTTTTTACTATTTCGTTCACAATCATTTTAGGTTGACCTTTAGCTCTCGCATTACAATCGATCATATCAAAAGACTCTTCCTTACCGGTGCATTATTAGGTCTTCTATAAATATGTCCAAACCACCTAAGTCAATTCTCTCTTAATTTATTTTCTATTGGTGCTACTCCCATGGTTTTACGAATATACTCATTTCTAATTATATCATTTCTCATTTTACCACACATCTATCTTAACATTCTCATTTATGCTATACTTAGTTATTGTTTTGTTTAATTCAATGTCCTTTGTTCATGAGAGATGGGACAAAAGGTTGTGGATTCTTGATTCATCTCATATCTTTTCTTGCAAAAGGTTTTAATTAATGATCCATCTTCTCTAGTTTATGAATCTCATAAGATGATTTGGCAGGCTAAAGTGCCTATTAAGTTGCAGATTTTTGCATGGATTGTAGCTCTTGCAAAGCTTAATACTTGAGGTTTATTGCAAAGGAGAAGACCGACTTCTTGTTTTTCTCCTCATGGGTGTGTAATATGTAAAAGATGTTGTGAAAGTGTGGATCATCTCTTTCTCAAAATTTTCCTGTTGCCTTGATGATGTAGTATAGAGCTATTGCTTCACTTGTAACATCCTATAGTTTATGGCTATGTTTTGGGTTGTGTGGAAAGAAAGGAATTATAAAATCGTGAAAGATAAAAAAGAATCTGGGGAGCTTCGTTGGGATAGAGTCAAGTCCTTGGGTTCCCTTTGGGCTTCAATGCTAAATGAGGTTGCAGATGTACCATTGTTTGCTCTTAATCTTGAATAGATAGCAGCTTTTGTTAGATGAATGCCTTCTTTAACCCTATTTTGATTTAACTTTTTCTAACGTATTTTCCTTTCTTTCTTCTGTTACTTTTATCCTTCCGTGGAGTGGATTTCTTTTCCACTATTTTGTACTCTCCACTTTTTTTAGAGAATGTTTCGTTTTGTTCCCAAAAAAAAAAAATGTTCCCCTTGTAAACAATTTTAGGATTTTCCTTGAATACTTTGCCTGTCCTAGGGAGTTGCTTCCATTTTTTGTGGTTTTATTGGGTTCTATTACATCTGAAAACACATATATGTATATATGGGTGTAAATGTTATGAGTGCTTCACGCCACTGCTGGGTTATTTTTGTGACCATTTTGAGGGTATCTGAATATATTTGTAGTTATGACTTACATGCCGCAAGATTTTCGGGGGACGCTAATTAGACAACAGAGAGAGCGCTCGGAGAGGAATAAGCAAGCTGAAGTTGATGCCATAGTTAACTCGGGTGGAGGTATACGTGACCGATATGCTTTGCTTTGGAAACAACAAATGGAACGGTAGCATTTTTTTGGTTTTCGTTTAGCCTTTTCTGATATACTTTAGAAGATCCAATTAGGTAATTGCTTCCAAAATGTTATTATCCAGGAGGAGGCAGCTAGCACAGCTTGGCTCTGCAACAGGTGTCTATAAGACTCTGGTGAAGTACTTAGTAGGAGTGCCACAGGTATGTCTTCTTTGGTTGGATAAGAACTGGTAATCAATGTATTTCTTTGTACCACTATCTCCTGTATCCTAAATCCGAATTCCTCTTCAACCTTGTGCGTTGAATGTTTGTCTTTGCTAACTGCACTCTCTCTTTTTAATTGCTCATAGTCCTCTCAGGAGGGTTATGCTGATTGAATCTTGGTTTATAGTTTTTGGGTTAGCTTACTGCTCTTTAGTAGATGGATTCCCATGGTACAATGCCCTTTTTGTTTAGGTCTGCAGTTGTCTTCAAGGTTCCTCCATGTGAATTCAACTCAGACTATATTAATTCTCAGGCTTAAATATTTCAGGTTTATTTATTGATATTTTTATCTGGTGCAGGTTCTGTTAGATTTTATCCAGCAAATAAATGATGATGAAGGGTATCTTTTCTCCATTTTCAAAATTAGTACATACTTTTCTCTTGGATATATACAATTTTCATGTTTAAATGTATTTCTGTTAGTTTGCATATATTTTTTTTTTCTAATTCTTGGCCTATTATGCAAAATATGAATGGGCCAACTAACAACTTCTGACAATTTTTTGCTCAAAATCCTTTTATTCTAGGCCCATGGAAGAACAGCGACAACGTTATGGGCCACCTTTGTACAGCCTTACAACAATGGTGTTAAATATTCGACTTTTTCTCTCTCTATCGTGGGGCCGGTTTGAGTCAAGAAAAATGTGTGATATATTGAAATCTATGTATTTTCTGTTCGTTCATTTGTAAAAGAAATAGATTGTTATACCTCTTAACAATGATTTGATTGCACTTTTTTTTTCCTGAATTATCTTTTGCCCTTCTCCATTGATCAGAAGGAAGCATGAAGTATCAATTTTGGAAGAAGCAGTCATTCTCTATACCTCAGAGTTTGAAAGATTTATCAAATTTATTGGGTAATTTTTCTGCTTCCTCCTCCAATAGGGCATAATTTACTTCTTTGTATCATTTTAGGTGACGACAATGCTCATTATCACCTGATGTTCTGTTTTTTAGACTGGTCTCGCAGTATTGTACTCATTGCAGTTTTCTTGTTTCATTCATAATGGTTACCTTTAATGAGTTAATTTGTAGTTGAACATTGACGTTTTAAATTTGATGAGATGCTGTTTTATTGTCTTTTGGCTCATTCTTAGCTGTCTTTTGGCTCATTCTTAGCTGTCTTTTGGAATTGTATCTGGTATCTGTCTTGAAGGACTTCGCAAATATGCCTCTTTTTGGAATCTTGGCTACCGGACTTCTGCTTGTGGATGTTAAATAACCATAATTTTTGCTTTGCTATTTTGATGTGGTGCTTTTATGTTGCTTTTCGTTGCGGTTGGACTACTTGTCCACCTTGGCTCTCATCTTGTTCTGCATCCATTTTTACTTTTTGTGAAATCTTTGTTTCCTATAAGGAAAAATAGATGCTCAACATGGATGGTTATTCCCTTTTTCCATAATATAGCTCTGTCTCTAAGATAAAGAAGACTTATAAAAGATTTTTTCTGGGTAGTTCTTCTACAAAATTCACTGGCAGCCTTGTTATGCATGACCGATCACTTGTGTATATTGTAAGAGATTAAAGCACCTAAGGATTTGTGCTAGTTAAAGGTGAAATTTAACTGTTTAGTTTGTGTTGACAAGAGGTTTCTCTTTGTGTTGTTCTACTTATTCTTCATGCACAAATTAATAGGAGGTATGTTCTGCAGTGAGGTTTTTGCAAATTCCCCTTTCTTTATTACAGCCGAGGATGCTGGTGCAATACAAGCAAGGTGAGTTTGTGTACTTCTATTTAGTGGTGGTTGTTTCATTTCATACTTGTGTGGACATGGTTTGGAATAGTAAACAGCTTTTGTGGGTGATGTCAGTGTCATTATTGTGAATTTGAACATCTTGTTCTCTACAGGAAAAATGATGACTACAAAGAAATGAGTGTTCCTGCGGGGAAAATTTATGAGGTTTGTTTCACAAATTAGCAAGCAAAGTTCAATTTCTTATGATTTTTACTCCTGATGATTAAGACTGTTAGTTATGGTGTGTTTAATAAGATTCTCTATCGTCATTTGGCTCCTCAAAGCTCAAGTACCACAATGTTTCGTGTTTGTGGCTTTGTAAATGCAGGTGTCTATCATGGTTAGACTTTTACATAATATAGGATTGCAATATCACAGCATCTAATCAGACAATTTATGATGTTAAACCAAGACTTAATTCTATGATATAGACTCTCGCTTGTTTATAGGACTTGAAATGTGTACATTTCTGGGCATAATCCAAGATGTTTGAGCATTATTAGGGAAACTTCTATAAATATTGAAGAAATAATTTTCAAAAGATTGCGTACAAGTTCTAATATATTCCAAAACATAATTTAGTTAAAAAATCGATACATGCCACATTTATTTTCTTATGTTGTTTTATGGTGTTATCCCAAAAAAAAATTCCTTATTAATTATCGGTGTGACATCAAGTGGATTTGGTCGAAATATACTTCAAATAATGAAATTGTGAAAAGTGGAAATTATCTTTGGATTTGTTGACCTTAGATTGGGCCTTTTGGATGTGGTTGAAACACCCCTTTTGTTGAAAACTCAAGTTTTTGGAATGTCTTTAGGTTTGATTCTATTGGCTGAGAATGAACATGTTGAAACTTTCAAAGTGTTAATTTTGTCTTCTTCTAACTTGGGTAAAACTTGTAAAAATACAGCTTCAAAGTGCAAATTTGTGCATCAGTGCATGATTGATTGCTCATTGTAAGATTAACACTAATGATGTGTTTTAAAGGAGACCTAAGACTTGTCTTATCCCACAGTGGTGTGTTATGTGTAGAGATGGAGAAGAGAGCGTGGATCATTTATTTTTGCATTGTCCCATGGCGCTCTTACTTTGGAACAACTTGTTTAATTTAGTGGGACTTTGTTGGTTGGTGCCAAGATCCTTGTTTTGTATGATTGGTCTGGAAGTTATGGGTCAAGTAGGAAACTCGAAATGAAGATCCTATGGCATTGTGCTTTTTTTTTTGCTACTATTTGGGTCCTTTGGTCGGAGCAAAATGCAAAGATCATTGAGGATAAAAACGAGTTCGAAGGATTATGAGACTTTTGAACAAAAAAAAAAAAAAAAGGATTATGAGACTGGTTGTATTTCCTGGCTTCTTTTTGGGTCCTGTGACTAAGGATTTTGCGAATATTCATCTTTTTGTTGTATTACTGCAAGCTGGACAGCTTCATATAGAGTGTAGTATGGTTGATTTTCGTTATTATTATTGTATGCGGTTGCTTGGGATTTATGTACATATCTAAATCCATGGCAGTTGATAGATGTGTTATCTTTCTAGGTTTCATTGGCAGTGGAATCAATAAACTCATATATTGCTTGGGATTTCTCCTTGGCAAAGGGCAAAATGAACATGGTAATGAACTCCTATATTTAGAAGTATTTAGATATGTACATAAATATATTGTAAATGTTGCATCAATAGAAAGCATTCTTTTGTTTGTTTCTTTTGGTTATATGATTGAGTGGCCTCTTCACTCGTTGCCAATTGATTTTGAGTTGGGTGTGCCTCCAACAAGGTATTAGAGCTGGGACATGGGTAGTCAGTGGGCCTAGTGTCTCACCCATTCACTTTCGGCTGGATTGTCAACCCACATGCGATTCTTAGTCGCTCGTAAGGAAGGGTGTGACTTTCAGCTGGATTTTGGCCATTATGATTTGAGATGTCAAAAATTTTAGGGGTGTGGTAGTTGAACAGGATGGATGCAACTTATTGATTGCACTTTTGCAAAATCTATGATATTTTAGTTAATAGATCACTCATCAGTTTAAGTGAAGATTGTACTGTTTGGAGACAGGATATTGGATTCAGCGTGGAGTACACAAATCCTTCAGGGCAAAAAACGGTAAGTTGAGCTGTTATGGTGTATGTACCATTTTTCCTGTTCTGAACTGATGCATTTGATTGCAGTTCCTTTCTTTGTTAAGCTGCAATCATTTGCCTGCTTCTTGTTTTCTGCCTTTTCTGTCTTTTTTTTGGAATTTATGTTTTGTAGTTTTAAACTTTAGTCATCCTGCTGTTGCATTTATTTTGGGCTATTGGGTTGCTTATTCCTCAGCTGATCTTACCTTATCGGCGCTATGAGTCTGACCAAGTGAGTTGTGCTTTTTGCGAGTTACAACATTACCATATATATTACTGTACTGGTTTTATCTACTGACCGGCTTCATGGATTTCCGGGTAGGGTAACTTTTGCACATGCATGGCTGGAAACTACAAACTCATCTGGGACAACTCGTATTCGACGTTTTTTAAAAAGGTAGGAATACAAGTTTAATGACTTACACAGTTACTCTGATGCTTCATTGCCATAATGATGATGAGGGTAGTGTTGTTGGTCAATGCACAATTTTGACTGGCTAATGCTGGAGTAGGTTTTATTTGGCTAACATGAACGGTTGGGTGAAGAAATTGCACTTATAGGTATAATCAAAATATTGATTCCAAACTAGCACGATGGATGGTAAATGTGTTTTACAACCCAACATATGCAGTCCCCTTTTTTGTTCCATTAAAATTTTAGAAAGCTGCATGGTTGTTAGGAGTAGTGATATCGTAATTACTAGTATCTTACCAAGCACTGTTGGGATAACACATGAGAATCTCACACCAAATAGAAAAAGAATTGAAAGAGTCCTAATATACCTTTGAATAAGTTTATTACTGGCCTAATAGGAATAATAAAGATGGCAGTATCTTAATAGTATTGGGCATTAATATTTTATCCCTATAAACAGGTTTGAATATCATGTAATGAGGAACTAGATTACCAGATAATAAAGTACTGATGTAGCTTTTTGTTTCGTAGATGTAGGTATGGTGTACTGATGTAGGTACTCTATATCAATCCATTTTATATCCTTTTGTTTCGTTTTATTGTTTTTACTATCGTTAATTCCTACCTTCCAACAAGTGATATCAGTATTAATTAATCGCTGCCCAAAATCAACAAATAGTATTAGAACTAGCCAACTGGTCGAGTATGAGATCAAACGTTGTAAGGACAGTGGCTCTTTATGGTTGAGTTATAGAAGGGTTGACCTATAGGTTGGATTAAGATGATCGACATAGTGCTATCTCATTGAATGATAGGCTAGTGGGGCCGCCAAATGAAAATAGTTATTTTTAGGTCAGTGTCTATACGGGGGGTTGTCGTAGATGTCGGCTATAGAAACATTGTGGAGTGTTAAAATCCCAGGTTAAATATGGGACTAGATGAGTGCATATGAACTCTTGAACATCTTTCCTTTATAAGTCAGTTTTTAGGGACGAGTTCTACCTATGGGTTCATAATTAACGATCTTAGGGAACAATTAGAGCTATATTGACAATCTTGGTGGAACAATCAAAGCTAGATTGACGATCTTTGAGGAACAATCAGAGCTAGATGAATGATCCTTGTGAAACAATTAGAGCAAGTTGTAGACGAACTTAGGTCAACTCTATCAAAAAAAGTTGATTGGGATCGACATCATTGGATGCGTGAGGAAAACAAGGACCGTGTGGAGTCTCCCTTGAATTAAAAGTTCATGTGGATCAAGTTGCTCAATTAATGATAAGATCCACACATAAACTATTTGGAAGACAAATTCTCAAGCATGAGAATCTTGCCTTTGTTGTTGTTGGAAAGACCTCAATTGCCATTGGCAAGGGATTTGCCATTGACTCTGCATTGGTTTCAATGGCATTATTTAAAGTTTTAATTGTTGATGTTTTGATTCTAAAGAGTTTTTGGTTGTTCCCCTAGGTACGGTGTATTGATGTAGGTGTACTGAATTGAACCACATTTTATCTTTATATGTTTTATTGTTTTTCTTATTTTTAATTCCTATCTTTTAACAAGTGATATCAAAATTAATTAATCACAGTGCAAAACCAACGAACACACTTCTAGATCCGTGATATCCTACAGAAGCTCAATATTGTTTTCCCTGTTGTTGTACTTCCTCATGTACTTGTTTTCTATCTCACTATTACTAAAGGTAGTGCTAAACCTTTCTTCCCTGACACCTCCCCCCCCCCCCCCCCAACTTCTTTTTTCCCTTCCTGGGCAGGTGGGACTTGGGGGGTATGATGGATTGAGGAGTTCAATCTTGTCTATTTCCCAAGAGGGATGAAAAAATAGAAGCGAAAGGAAGAGGGATTGAAACAAATGGCTGAAGAAAGCCAGTCTTTTTTCATAGTTTTATGTGGTTTTCTAGGGAGGAGGAAGAGAAAAGCTAGTGTTTATCCCTCCTCAAACCCCGTAGCGACGGGGTGCAATAGGGATTGTTTTAGAAGGTGAAAACATTACGAAAGAGGATCCTTTTCTCCCTGTTCCTTCCTATTTTTCTTCTTATTTCTTGACTACCAAATGATGGAAACTTTATACATTCTTGATTCTTCCATTCTCTTCGCACCCCTTCTTTCACTCTTCTCTCCACCAAACAAAGCATTAGAGGATTATTTCCTGGTGCATAACCCATTAAAATAATTTTTTTTAATCATCTTGTAAACCATTAGAATAAATTTTTGGTTGTGCAAACCAAATGGGTTGGGGGAATGGGATTGGTGTTTGATTTATCAGCATCTACTGTTGTGCTTGCTATTGCTTACTAGTAGAACCCATTTTTGGTTTTACATAAAAAGATATGGAAACTGAGCCTCGGTGATCATTGACAACAAAGCTACACGTTTGCCTTAACTCCCATTTTGTGATTTCTAATTTGATTGTAATGTATGCAATAGGTCCTGCATTACAAAGTGGATTGCATTCCACCGGTTGTGGAGGCAGAGCCCTTGGCGACTAAAGTAGAAGAATGACCGGGGTTACTGGACATGGTAATTGGTGCCGGGTTGATTCTTACTTATTCTTGTCACATTCATTTGTATATTTTAAATTTTTATATTTCCCTTTCATCACCTAAAAGATTGGTAACTTGGTTTCCTCTAGTGTTGAGATATCTTACTGTTGTTACTGAAGATATGCTAATCTGTACTGGTTGTATACCATCTATTTCTTGTCGCCACTTGGGTGGGCATCCAATAATAATTACCGATCTCTTTTCTTACTCTGAATAAGATTTCAGATAATTTAAATCGAATTTGGATGGTATAGTACAACTTCGGTCCAAGTTCACTTCGTTGACAAGCCTAGTGGCAAAGTTAGAACTGGGTGAGTTGATAGTGGGTGGTCGCATAATACAATCTAATTTGATTAGGAGAGGTGAGAGGGGACGGGTTGGGGTTCCGGGGCTTAGGGAAGACCGAGAGTAAGAGAATCTGTAATGTTAGGTTAATGGAGAGAGAGAGAATCTGTAATGTTAGGTTAATGAGAGAGAGAGAGAGAGAGAGAGAGAGATGTAATGTTATTTGCATATAGCGGGTTTGACACGAGGAAGTTAACTCGATCTACTAATGAACAAGTTGTGCGTATGAGGTCCTTCATCCGTCAAAATTCGCTATGCCAAGTACAAAAGATATAAAGTGAAACAAACCTATAATTATTAATGGAAACGGCAAATTGAGGGTCTCAGAAAACTTGGGGGGAGTGGGGAAGGAAAGCATCATCAATATCAACAGCTCTCAATTTTCTACTATGGACTAGTGATTTTGTAACAAATGAGCACTCTACATATGTCGATAAGCATTCTTAGAGGTTGTTTTGTGCATGATGGTCATACACACGAGTAAAGCTATCTTCATATTCTAAGGATACATGTCAATAGCAATGCGAAAGATTGAGGCGTGTCAAAATCAACTTTAAATGAATTAGTAAAAAATCTATATAATAAAATACAAAGAAAGTTGAATTTTAATTCTTATATATTTTTCTCTCCAAAATAATCACATCACTTATTTCTATCACATATTAAATCTATTTAATAAAGTACAATACAAGTTAAATCTTAAAAAATTAACAAAATGACTTTTGTTATTCACGGTTGAGTTCTCTTTAAATTTTACTTTAAAGTTAATCTGACGATTAATATTAACCCTATAAATTTAATAGAAAAATATCGCTCTATGGGTGTGTTTGGGATAATTTTAAAAAAGTGTTTTTAATACTTATAATTTCTTAAAAGTACTTTAAAAAAAATAGTGTTTAGAACCACCACGATCACCACTACCACCATCACCCCACCATCGCCACCCCACCCCGCCACCACCGCTGTCGTCGCCATCCCACCACCACCACCTTACCCACCTCCTAAACACCACCATCATCACCCCCCACCACCCCTTGCCACCACCATTGTTACCTCCACCATACCACTCCCCCATTGCCACTACCACCCCACCACTACCTCTGCCACAGCAACAACTACTGCTCTTACCATCACTACCGTTGTTACTACCACTCTCGCCACTCCACCACCACCACCACCACCTACCGGCCACCACCACCATCCCCATTACCCCCTACCACCACCACCGTCACCTCCATCACCACCACCACCATCACCCTTACCACCACTATCACTGTCCTACCATCACCCCTACCACCATTACCTCTTACCCCCCCCCCCCCCCACCACTGCCCATTATTACTACTATCGCTCACTCTTGCTTTAATCAGTGTTTAAATTTTTTACTCTCTCTTCTATATTTGTAATTTGATTTTAGATGTGAATACAAATATATTATTGTTAACCATTTTTTTTATTACTCTGTGCCTTCAAGTACAGATAATAACTAATCATTTAATATTTGATTCATTTGTAGTTTAACATATATTGAGAAAATTGTATCGAATTATATATTTTGAAAAAATTGTCAATATTTTTAAAAAAATAATGAGTAAAAATAAATTTTGAATGATGAAATCAAAAATGAAGGAAATAAGAATTATTATTTAATATAGTGAGATTGATTTTTTTAGGATTTGAATTTAATGTTCTATCATATCTTCAGACACGGGTTATGACTAGTAATACAATAATATTAAAGTGTAACTAAAAACATGATCATTGAATAAGCATAATAAAGGAATAATGTCCTCAAATTCGTTAGTCATAATTTATTATATTTCCAAATCATGTGTTAATAGCATTGGTGCAAAAAAAAATATTTCATTGAGGTTAAATTTCTGAATGCATATCCCTACCTACTTAAGAGGCATTCACCAGTAGGTATCGAGGGGTGGATGGGGGCCACAGGGTAAATTAATCGGACAGACATGACCATGTTAGAAATAGAATGAACAGGGGCATGTCACATGAAAGAGTAGAGGGCAGGTTAGGTTAAAATATTGATGGGGAAGCGATAATCTGAATTGATAGCGAGAGGACGAAAAGAGGCATACAAAAAATGTACAAGTATGACACGACAAAATAGATGTCAAATTGATTTACAAGGAGCAACAGCGAAAAGTGGATGAAGTTCACAACATAAAGTCAAAAATTTGGTGCGAATCATGTGTGGACTGCCATCCACTTCAAAGATTTTAAGCAATGTAATTTGTTATGTTGAAAACATAGACCGAATGAAAAAAGAGAATGATTGATAAAATATTATGTTTTGTTAGAAATGAAAAGTGGAGGGTTGAGTATCTCTTTCATCCACTCATAATTTATCCTCCCAGAATTGAGTGAAAAAATAGAAAAAAAGTTAAACATTTGTGTTATAATACATGTTATTTATTTTTCGAAAAGTAATGTATATTATTTATTGTTATATCACTTAATATGTATATTCTATTAAATATAATTGGTAAGTTAATTTCATGTGAGGATATTTTAATAAAACATCTATGAGGACTTTTTTGTTCTTACCATTTTTTCATTTGTACCAAACATAAAAAAAATTCATCCCTTCTGTGTAGGGTCTTGATGTCGGAGAAATATTTCAAAGAACATTTCTTTTCTTTTCTTTTCTTTTTTTTTTAATGGTTGGAATGCTTCAAATGTTTTTAATTTTTTTTAAAAAAAAATACAACTACCAAGTTTTGACCCAAATACAAACATATATTTAATAAGATAAATTGTATAACACTAGGAATGTTTTCGACAATTTCAAGTGATACCTTATACTCAAATTACACTAAACTGTTGAGGGATATGAAATGATTCTTGTATCAGAGTATAACACGTGGACAACAAACAATAAAGAACCGAGGGGATCGACCAGTCCCGAGGATAAAACTTTGAGATGCCCCAGCAGGCAAAAGGCAAAAAGGTGCATCCCGGGGTCGAGTATTTATTACCAGAACAGGGAAGTGAGGCCATCATGATGCAATAGATCACAGAGAATGATAGCTTCTGTGGACATGTCACATTAGAATGCATCTTAAATCACAGAGAATCTAAACAAAGACATGACCCTTACTAATGTGGATCTCTCGAGGGGATGCAAAATAAATGTTCGGCCTCATCACAATGGGTGCTCGGCTAGCTCAATCAATGTTTTGCACGAGTCATTAAATGCTAAGGGGACGTGCATCAAGTGCTCGACGCCTCGAGTAGGTAATCATTGCAAGTCTAAACCCCCGAGGAAGCACCTACATCCCCTAGGCCTTGTAATTGCACGACTCAAGAGAAGTGTAGCTCAATCATATTACCCCTATGATAGCTTCCTCAGCTGGCTTGATAGAACCCATATATTGTCATGTCATCCTATTAGCAGGTATAAATACCTCCCAATGAATTAGGACACAGGTACACAATCACAAGCAATCAGTACATTAAAAGTTTTATCCTCCCTTTGAGCACTTACTGACTTAGGCATCAGAGGGGATACACCAAACACGTCTCCTGCCCCTTCTGACCCCTTTCCTCTATTGTAGGAGCAGATCCATCTAAACTTCATCGTGGTGTAGTTATTCACTCTATTATAGGAATTTTCCCATGCAATTTAGTGCCATTTGTAGAAAGATTTTCTAACTCCGTCTTTCTTAGTAGTTGTCACCATGGTTAGCACATGCTCTCTGGCCAATTTGGAGGGCGCACAAGAAATGTCGAGGTCCAATCTAATGCTCACCTCATCACCTTTATCACATCCAGATCGTTGGATCAATCAGAGGGGATTCACCGAGTCATCTAGCCTTTTCCACAGGGTCAAAATCCCATCCTAGGTGGGTAGGGAAGAAGACTCCTTGCTTGCGAACTAGTGGACTTTGATAGAGGAAAGGTTGGGTGACTGGCTCAAGAAGATTGAAAAAGATAATGTCAATGTTATCAACCTACTAAATGATTATGAGCTACCTGATGGAACCTCAAAAGAAGGTAGTCATTTAAAGAAAGGGGGTTTTAGTAAGAGCACCAAGAAGATGCATTCTCAGGGTATCTTGGGAAGTTTGCAATTAGAAATATTTAAGAGTCAAAAGGGATACACAAACTAAGTGTAGAGCTCTATATATATAGTCAAATAAGAGGTACAAGTGACTAGAATACCCCTCTAATATGAGTAAGACATAAAAGTCATAGTAAGGATAAAAAAGGAAAAAAGAGGAAAACTAATAAACAAGAATATAATTCCAACACTCACCCTTAAGCTAGGAATGGAGTCCTTGAGAATGGATGAAGTGATAGGTTTGGTGAAAACATCCACAATCTGATCATTGGTCACCACAAACGATGGAGTGACAATGCCATAACTGACCTTCTCGTGAAGAAAGTGAACATCGATCTCCATACACTTCGTCTTCTCGTGTAATACAAATTGAGAAGTGAGCTAAATAGTAGATCGGTTATCATAATACAATGTGGATGAAAAAGTCACTAGAAATTCCAACTCACTAAGAATCGATTGTAGCCAGATAATCTCACATATGCTAAGTACCAGTGCCTGATACTCTACCTCTACTAACGAGCGGTAGACAACTGCTTGCTTCTTGCTCTTCCAAAAGATAAGACGAGTCCCTTGAAAAGCACCGAAGGGCATAGTAGATCAACCATTACAAGCTCTCTCATAATTTGAATTTGAATAATAGGCTAGAGAATCGGTCTGAGACCTTGATGCATAGAAAAACCAAAGTCAACGATAAGATTTAAGGTATCAAAGAATGTGATATACTGCATCCAAATGAGACTAACACGACTTGTGCAATAACTGACTAACTTGGTTGACACCAATTGAAA